ACAAATATCAACTTTAATCTATACAATTTATCAACTAGCTGACTAAAACAAGCACACACAACTTCTTTGTTATAAAGCATATTATATAGGGATAGGCATGCTGCATTTTACACTAACATATACTTCAAAGGATTGCGAAGAAGAAAATAAATATTGTAAAAAATTCCATGAATTTTCCATGACTTTCAATGAAAATTTAGGAATTCCATGACTTTTTCCATGACCAAAAAAAAACTCCATGACATTTCAATGATTTCCATGACCAGTGGCCACCTTGTCATATTGTTTAGTTTTTCTTCTATATACTATAAAAACGTAATACTAAATAATATGAACTTTAAAAAATCCAATACATAAGAAAAGGTTTTTACACCATATAAATCCAATAATATAGAAAACTAATTTACAGAAGTTAGGATCTTCTGATAAAGATAGGTCCTAAAGCTTTAGATTCTTTAAATATCTACCTAAAGATAGGTCCTATCTTTAATAAATATTTATATCAATTTATAACAGCATCCTTAATGCACTTCTTTAAAAACATATAGCCTTTAGTTCCAGTAAAACAAATATAAATATATAAAAATCACTAACTTGAAATTATATATGTGTATAATTTCTCCTTGTGAAAAAGAAATATGGCGCTCTATTAATTAGAGTTTATACTAAAGTATTCTAAAATATACTGTATAGTTTTTCCATAACATAACAACTGAAAAAGTCTGATAAAAACTACAGAGTTTTTTACAGTGTATATTATAATTTTTAATCATTTCACAAGTAGTTTCTTAATAGTCGAATTACATCTTTTTAACATATAAATTCTATAATTTATTTTTGACTTTTGCATAAACTCTGTAAAATAAGTTAACTGTCTATTTGCTGATTTAACAGAGTTTTTCCATTAATTTGAACTGAAAAAATGAAATACGGAAACCATTAATTTTATTGTGTTTGCTCTTTGTTGCCTGACTTTCTCCATTAATTTGTACGAAAAAAATGAAATATGCAAAAAGTAAATTTTACAGAGAAAGTTCTGTATCTTTTTAAACAGACTCATTCCATTGATTTTTATGGAAAATAGGAACTATGAAAACCAATAATTTTTACGGAGAAAATGCTGCCACTTTGCTGCAAGACTTTTGAATCTACGGCAAATTTTTTAACAGTGTAGGCAAATCAAATTTATACTTTTATTTTACAAAATTAAAAAAGAAGTTATAAATAAAAATAAAAGTTGAAAGAATAAGAAACAGAAAAGTAGAAAAATAAAAAAACAACAGTAATATATTTAAAATAAATCATAGAGGTAGGTCATCTACATCACACCACCCACTCTCCAAATAATCTATAATTATGATTATATAATTATAACCTATAAGTATAATTGTACTAAAAGGCATATTGTTGAACTTAAAATCAACTCACTTCAACAAAATGCACTGTGCACCCTGTAACTCTAACACCAGATTCTAATACTTGTTTATGAGCATCCATTCCTTTGAAAGAAGGTAACAACGAGGGATGTATGTTAATTAAACGCCCACTCCAATAACGCACAAACTCACCAGTTAAAATTCGCATAAAACCTGCCAAACAAACTAGTTCAATACTTTCTTTTTTCAATATTTCTAGTAAAGCATTGTCAAAATCAATCCTCTTCTTATAGAGCTTGTGATCAATGACCTTTAAAATAAAGTAATATTAATATTAATCAATGACCATTAATTTGAAAAACAATATGACATTAAAATAATAAGAAAATACTATGATACAAATATACAACATTATATATGATGTAATTGTATATGACAAAATTGTATATGATGAGATTATATATGATGATTTTATATATGGCGAGATTATTTTTAAAAATTTCAAATAAATTTTTTAAAGAAATTTAGTTCTTTTTTATTTTTTCTAAATCTGACAATTCACTTTTAACTTATAAAAAATTTATGATTAAAAACATGGTCGATTCAATTTTAAAACTTCAACATTTTTAGTTTTGAAATTTGACTAAACAGATCATATTTATTACCATTGTTTTTATTCCAGCCCTTTGAGCTTTATACAAACCCTCAGCATTAGGGACATTTGAGATGACAAGTACTATTTTTGCACAACTTCCTTGTTTAAAAGAATGATGCATTAACGCTTGAAGATTAGTTCCAGATCCAGAAATCAGACAAGCCACTTTCATATGCTTTTGTCCATCTACAAATTCTTTTCCAGAAATTTGCTTATTTAAAGATGTCTGCAGTATTGAAGCCTGAAGAGCTGCTTCAAATCCTTCAAAGTAATGCAAATATTTATTTAAACATTTATCATTCAAAGCACTATTATAAAATATTTTTTAAATTTAAATATCAATGTTATGGATCAAATATAATAATATGTATGTATATTTTAAGTAACAAAAAGTAAAAAAAAACAGCTCTTAAATTAATATTAAGTGAATATCTTAAGTTGTCATTTTCTGTATTATTATTAAAAATTATTTAAATAACTGAGGAAACAAATTACATTAAACATTTTTTTATAAAAAAAAAAAACACAAAAACTTTATTTATTATTATTTTTTTCAAGATCTTTGCTTCTATTATTTTTTTGCTTCTATTATTTTTTTTCAAGATCTTTACTTCAAGGCTGCAGGCAACAACTATTAGAGTTGGAAGTTACTAGAAGAGAAAAAATGAAGTTTAAATACCAAGATAGCAATTGACAGACGATTTAAAAGATTGCAAATTATATGAATCAAAAAAGCAAGATGAAGAAAGCTAATTCCAAAGAATGATGTTTAAGGAATAAAACTAGACGAATAAGAGTTTTTGGAGCACTTAGGAACAGTCACAGAAAGAATGAGACTTAATTAAATGACCCGTAACACGAGAATGAATTTTAGAAGATGGCACAAGAGACGTTAACTCTTTAGAGTAGTGCCCATTATAGTATTTGTGGAAAAGAGAAAAAGAAGCAACATTACGACAATGTGATAATGGTTGGAGGTTAGCTGCAAGTGCATGTCCAACTATGTTTACAATGTGTTTTTGCACCTTTCCTAAAAAAGAAAGGGCATCATTGAAAGATCTGCAAAAGCCTCTCCACCTCTATCTAACGCACAATAAAATCTATTGGTTATTACTGTTAGCAAATCAGCTGTAGAACGAGAAGATCGAAATCCATAATGATGATTAGAAAGAAGTTATAGGTGAGAGATAAAGTGTTTGTTAATTAAAGATTCAAAAACCTTGCTTATGATAGGAAGAAGACTAATGGGACGGTAGTTGAATAAGTCAGATCGCTCTCCAGAACATTTGAAAATAGTTATGTATGTTTTTTTTCATCAGGCTGAAAAAGAAGACTCTGATAAGCACTTGTTAAATAGTTTTGAAAGTATAGACAACAGCTCCAGAGAACACTTCTGCAAGACTATAACAGGTATGTTGTTAGGACCTTTTAGTATACATCCTTTTAGTATAAGTTATAGTATATAGTATAATACTCTTATAGTATACACAACATTTCCAGTTACAAAATAGTACATTGACTATCTTATAGCCTGTTACCGGTAGGAGTGCTGCTATATTGACTGAGGGTCAGGATTAAGCTCCTTTTCGGTTTATTTTCAGCCCTTAGAAGAGTCTAAGCAGAAAACCACTTTTGATACAAAAACTAGAGTGATACGAATATCAAACATTGGATCAACCTGTTTGTTGGCTATATCAGGTAGAATACAACTAGTGGAATCAAGAGATGATATTGATGAAAGATTTTCAGCAAACAGTTCAGCTTTGTCTTTAGGTGAGGTGATGTCTGAACCATACAAGAGTGGTGAAATAACAAATTTGCCCTTATTATTGATACTGTTAAAATTCTCCAGAAGCCATGAGAGTCTAATTTTTGTGACATAACACAAAAATGAATTTTAGTAGATGGCACAAGAGATGCTAGCTCTTTAGAGCAGCACCCATTATAGTATTTATTGAAAAGAGAACAAGAAAGTGACAATGATTGAAGGTTGGCTGCAAGACTTAAAGTGACTTAAAAGTTTAATAGTGTTTTTGTTTTTATTTGTTATTGGTTTTTTTACTGTTTTTATCTTTGTTTTATTGACAGATTTATCTAGCCATAAGAGTGCAGCATATTGATCATATTACTAATGATTTACATTTGGGATGTACCTGAATTTCGGTTCTGGCCGGAACGCCAGAATTTATTTTTTTCTTTTTTTTTTAAGACTAGTGACACAGACTGTCAAAAACTTATTGTCCTAAAGGGCAATGAAGAACTATAAAGAAGAACTGTAAACCTATGTAAAAAATACAAAATTCTTAACAAACACAATGTAATTTTACTTGCAGTAATCAATAATGTAAAGATTTCTAGAAGTTTAGGAATATCATGGTGCAAAAAGAGTTGTTATCCAGTTTTGGGCAACAAACAAGCTCTTTTTTTCATCAAAACTGTTACCTGCCTCTGAGAATAGTCTTACTTTAAATGTTATTTAAATTCTTAATAGTTAAAAAATATAGGATGCCTAATACAATAAATATTTCAATATTAACCTAAATGGAAAAATAGAAAACATTTTAATACTGATAAAGAAAATCTGATTTATTTTGTTCAATTCATAAAACCTGCACTAAAACGTTCCTGCACTAAAACATCTGACTATTGGGGGAAAGCTTTCAAATAAAAATCAATTTTTTCAATTTTATTGTAAAAAAAACTATTATTTTTAAACTCAAATTAAAAAAAGGAGTTTTTTAAGACATTTTTTAAAAACATCATTTTTAAGGTTACATTTAAAAAAATATCATTTATGAAATCTCTATAAACTTTTTTTGAGGCCCAACAAGACTTTGGTATAACATGATATACTTTGGTATAACATGATATACTTTGGTATAACATGATATACTTTGGTATAACATGATATACTTTGGAATAACATATTATACTTTCAAAGAAAAATATTTTTGGTAAAATATGACACCTATCATGTGCCAAGTGTCTTGGTGCAGGTATTTTTTTTAGAATTAGCTCTAATAATAATTTATAAATTTTGAAAAAAATATTTTCAGTCATAACCTTAGTGTACATAGATCAATTGAGAATTTTGGATTAGAAAGACAAACATTTTTTAAACTAAAAAAAAATGTTTGTCTTAAAACTTTTCTTAAGCCTATGGAATTCTCCATATGCTGGCTTAATATGGTGTATTTGTTTTGAAATCAATATTATTTTTAAAATTTTTATATAATTTCGCTTCATTTGAGTACCAGGTTGACATATTTTTGAAAAACTTTTTTTTCGGAAATATTAGGGACCCATTAAATATTCGAGGGTCTTGAGGGACCCCTTAAAATATTTTTTATTCAAAAAAAATTTAAACCTAGTGTTTTTGCATTAGAAAGAACACATTTAGGGGGTGAGAGCAGATTATTTTCAAAAATGTTTTTTTTTGGGACACCCTATGGTGTATCTAGAAAAATTTTTGAGACGACTGAATCATTTATTTCTAACAGCAGTGTTAGACCAGTAACTTCTGGGGTATAATGATCCCGTATTTTTTCTTATCTATATTAACCATCTTCATGACAATCTTTCATCTTAAGGTTTTCTATTTGCTGACAACACAACTATATATTCAAGCCTTGACAAAAAGTCATCACATAATTACATAAGAATTACTTAGAACAGAATGACTATCTTGAACCTCATCTCTCTTCTGTGACAGCTTAGAGCTTGCAGTGGCTTCTTTTTTAACATAAACAAAATTCACTTATCTACTGCTATCGATATTTACTCTGTATTGATGGCAACATGCACTATGGTAACACATACCATGGCAACACACTGACTGAGCCCTTTAATTATGTCTTCTAGGATTATCATACTCTATTGACTTCTCATGGAATGAATTGCATTTATCTTCATCAACAATTGCCAAAACTACATGGAACCTTCCTAATTGAACATTTCATCTTTTACTGAATATTGTAAGGACTCACTCATGCACATATAAGATATTAGAAGATCACATAGAGGATATTGGGTCTTTTTTTTTTTTTCAATACTTACCCTATTTTAGGATCTATAGGCTGTTTATTTAAAATAATTTTTATGAAATATTTTTTTATTTTTTAATTTAAAATAATTTATTTTTTACAATTTAGGGGATAGCTAGAAAAAAAGGTTTTTGAAAAAAACTGTTTTAAAAAAAACTGTTTTGGCTAATTATGCTAACTATTATTTACTATCAACTTTAAGTATTTTTAATTAATATTAATATTAACTTTTTTTACTATTTGTTTCCAAAACAAATAGTAAAATAAATTGTAATAGTTTGCATAAACTTACTCAGGTGCAAACTTACTCATAGTTTACGCAAACTTACTCAGGGGTGGGTTGGCGCAAGTTTTTTAAATAAGGAATGCAATTTGAAAATTTTACCAAAATTTCTCTTCAAGACTACAACTTATTACTTATAGAAATATAAGAATAAGAATAGTTATAGAAATATAAAAAAAAGTAGAAGGAACTAGCTCCAGTCTCCCATATACACTTTATTAGAAGTTTAAAAACAATAATACAAAATTGATTATTATTTATATACTAGGAATCTTTATATACCTTCAACTTCAACTTGCTTTTTTTCCTTATTTGATAGTGTACCAACTAGGTAAGCAGATTCTCCAGCATTGTTCAAACTTGCTAAAACAATATTTTCATACTTTTTTTCAACAATTAGTATGCCGCCCAAACCACAGTTAAATGTACGCATCATCTCATTGCTATCTATTTTGCTCATTTTAGATAGCCATCCAAACACTGGAGGAATAGGCCACAAACTTGCATCTAACTTGCAACAAACTTCAGGTGGAAGAACTCTTGGAATATTTTCCAAAAGGCCACCACCTAAAAAAGTATAAAATGTCATTTGTGTTTACTTAAAACCAACCTATGAAATAGAAAAACATTTATTTAAAATTAATATTTATTTAAAACTAACCTGTGATATGAGCAAATGCAAGAACAAGCTCTTGTTTAACTAAAGGCAAAACAGCTTTTATATAAATCTTAGTTGGAGTCAAAAGAGCTCTCCCTAAACTAATATCTTCTGACAAAAATGGACATTTATCCATAAAATTGAGTCCATTGAGATCAACAATCTTTCTAACAAGACTAAAACCATTGCTGTGAATGCCTGATGATGATAAACCAATAACAGAATTGCCCACTTTAATGTTCTCTATTTTTGGCAACAACTTTGTTCTTTCAACCACTCCAACAGCAAAACCGGCTAAATCATATTCTTCATTTTTATACATACCAGGCATTTCTGCGGTTTCACCTTAAATATTATTGATACAAATAATCTTTAATGCATACTAATCTTATTTTTTAAGTTTAATAAAAATTATTTTATTATAAATAATAACTAAATTATTTTTTAACAAAATATAAAGATAAAAAATAAAGCAAATTAAAAAAATTAAAAAAATAAAAGTTAAAGTATATTTACTTTACTTTTTATTTTTTATAATATAATTTTAACTTTTATAATATAAACAAAATATAAAGATAAAAAATAAAGCAAATTAAAAAAATTAAAAAAATTAAAGTTAAAGTATATTTACTTTAATTTTTATTTTTTTAATTTTTTTAATTTGCTTTATTTTTTATCTTTATATTTTGTTAAAAAATAATAGTACAATCATCACCTTTAATTTATTTTCATATTTTTAATTAGATTTATTAATTATTTCATATTTTTTATTAGATTCATTAATTATTTCGTATTTTTATTTAGATTTATTAATTATTTCATATTTTTAATTAGATTTATTAACTATTTCATATTTTTAATTAGATTTATTATTTCATATTTTTAATTAGATTTATTATTTCATATTTTTAATTAGAATTATTAATTATTTCATATTGTTAATTAGATTTATTATTTCATATTTTTAACTGGATTTATTATTTATTTCATATTTTTAATTAGATTTATTAATTATTTCATATAGTTTATTAGATTTATTATTTCATATTTTTAATTAGATTTATTAACTATTTCATATTTTTAATTAGATTTATTAATTATTTCATATTTTTATATTTTACCTTAAATATTTTACCTTAAATTTATATTTTACCTTACAATTATATTTTCATTTTACAATTGTAAATTTAAGTGCAATTTAAGTACATCAAAGTTAAAACCTCCAACAAGAGCACATCCTGCTTGTTTACATCCTTCAGAAATTCCAGAAATAACTTTAACAGCATCTTCAGATATAAGCTTTCCGCATGCGTAATAGTCCAAAAAAAACAAAGGCTCAGCTCCATGTGCAAGAATGTCATTTACGCACATAGCAACAAGATCTATACCAACTCTTTCATGATCTCTACATTTCTGAGCTATCTAAAAATAATTTTAATTAAACTAACAAAATCTAATACCTTATAACTTTTTAATCAAACTAACAAAATCTAATACCTTATAATTTTTTAATTAAACTAACAAAACCTAATACCTTATAATTTTAATTAAACTAACAAAATTTAATACCTTATAATTTTAAATAAACTAACAAAATTTAATACCTTATAATTTTAATTAAACTAACAAAATCTAATACCTTATGATTTTAATTAAACTAACAAAATTTAATACCTTATAATTTTAATTAAACTAACAAAATTTAATACCTTATAATTTTTCCTAAAAATATTTCAACTTATAGTTATTCTTTTCATTATAAAAAAAATTAAATTTTCATATATTTTTATCCGCTATATTATATATCTACTAATTTAAATTACTTTTAATTAATTTGTTTTAAGATTTTCAAAATATTTATATTTTTTAAATATTTCTTTAAATAACTTTTTATTTTATTTATATATTTTTTTGACCACAAAAAAAGCATTTAAACCTTTTTAGTTCCTGTGTAATAAGATAAATAAATTCGTAAGAGATAATCCACTTTTATTCAGGGTGACAACCCTCTTAGCCTATTATACTAAGTTCAAGAGAGGAGGTAATCCATTGTTTTTAAGGGTGGTAACACATAAAGAAAACTCCTTTACAAATCAAAGAAAAAACTAGTTGACTTAATTTTGTTTCAATTTGCAAAGGCATTTGATGAGGTTTTGCATAGAAGACTACTGCAAAAGCTTGAAATGCATGGTATAAATGGAAATTTCCTAAATTGGATCAAAACCTTTTTGACAAAGCCCAAACAGCATGCAGAGCCAATGACACCGGGGAAAGAAGGGAGGGGGGAGCACATGCCAGGGAGCACCCACCTATTCCCACTTTTTTTCTAAAAGACTTTTTTTTTTTTTAAGAAAATTCTAGATATAGAGGACTTTTTATTAAAAATTGATGATTGTATCCCCCCCCCCCCTATTACTTTGAACCCGTGTTGTCAGCCCTGGCAGGTAATACTTAGAGATACAATTTCTAAATGGATTGACACAATTATCAAAACTTATCTGTTTGTTCAGATAAAATAAAGACTAATAGAAGAGAAATAATAATTATAATTAATATAAAAATTTATATAAAGAAAAACAATAATAAAGTCTATAATAATGTAAACTATATTTTTAATTAATATTTAAAGTGGCAAATAAAAACAAAATTGCTGATACCACATTTTAAAAATAATCTCTTTAAATGTCAGATAAATATGATGCAAGAAAAATATGTATTATGATGTTAGAAAAATATAATGCAAGGAAAATATGTATTATGATGTCAGAAAAATATGATGCAAAAAAAATATGTATTATGATGTCAGAAAACAATGATGCAAGGAAAATATTTTGCTATGATAAAAAAAAAAAATGTTAATTTGAATTAATCGGATCTTTACAATGATGAATTAGAGTTAAGACATTTGATTGAAAATTTAGATGTTCCAATGCTTACTAATAATAAATGATCTAAACAATATAAAAAAAGGTTTGACATGGAAACTGAAATGCATACTTAACTTAATTAAACTTTGGTTTACCTTTGAATGTATATTTGAATTTATAATCTGATCAAAATTTTCAAGCATTTTAAAGATTCTAAGATTCTACCTTTCGAATATCAGATTAACAATGCTGAAAATTAGGCCAACCACTCTCACTTGTTATATATGTGGGATGGAAAAAAAAAGGATTATTGGAATTTCAGCCCAGATCTAATAAACAGGGAAGGGGTCTTAATAAAATTCTTAATAAAAGGGAGGGTGAGATTTTTTTTTACAGAACAAGCATAAAACAATTTAATTCTAGTGTTAGTTGCCGTCAAACTAACACCACTTTTTTTAAAAGTTGTTTTATCATAACTTCAATAGGATTTAATATGCTTATATAAATTTATACTATGGTGAGGAATATACCAAAAGCTAGTTTTTGACAAATCTAAATTTTTTTTATAGGTTGACAGTTTTTAAAGCCTGATTACAATGAGAGTTTTTATTCTTATAAGTGATTGATATATATATATTTTTTTAATTTTTAAGGCTTTTTTTATTTTGGAAATATGGTTTTTTTGTTGAACGAAATCTTTCAAAACCCAAAAAATTTTGAACCCAGAGAATGTAATGCCAAAAATTAGACAATCAGTGTACCATGCCCATTTAGACATTCTTTATAATCCCCTGGTTTCAGGCAGACATTCTATATAATCTCCTGGTTTCAGGCAGAAGCTTTTATTTTTTCTAGTTAGTTTTAAGCCAAGCCTCATTTTACTCCTTCTTGAGCTATCAATTTTTTTCCATTTGAACAACTCTCTGGAGAACATAAATATAATTTTATTACTGCAAGAAATTGATGCAAAAGAGTACTGTCTGAGGTTAAGTTATCTCAGAGGTGTTAGAAACTGTTGAAAAAAGATATCATTAACAAAGTCTAACATTCCTCTTCTCAAACATGGATCTCACTTAAAATCTCAGTACTTACTTAAAATCTCTCAGTTCTCATTACTCACTTATAATCTCTCTCAGTTCTCAGTACTCACTTATTACCTCTCTCAGCACTCACTTATTATCTCTCAGTTCTTATCACACATTTATTATCTCTCTCAGTTCTCAGAACTCACTTTATACCTTTCTCAGTTCTCATTACTCACTTATTATCCCTCTCAGTCCTCAGTACTCACTTATTATCTCTCTCAGTCCTCAGTACTCACTTATTACCTCTCTCAGTCCTCAGTACTCACTTATTATCTCTCTCAGTTCTCAGTACTCACTTGTTATCTCTCTCAGTTCTCAGTACTCACTTATTATATCTTTCAGTTCTTAGTACTCACTTATCATCTCTCTCAGTTCTCAGTACTCACTTATTAACTCTCTCAGATCCCACTTTATTACTCTCTAAGATATTTAAGAAGTGCTTCACAGAACCTTGTTTTCTACTAAAAATGGCATTTGCGGTTCCATTTAAAAAAAAACCTGGCTCAAACCTCTCTAAACTAATCTTTCAATCTCTCGGGCCCAATCTTTTTACTAGCAAATTGTTAATTGATTGAATCTTTAATTTAAAAACATCAAATATCTACTAAAGTCTAAAATCTTTTTGACTATCAATAGAGATTTCAATTAACTCATTCTATTGCAGAATTGTTAACCATTTTAACAGAAAGATGCATTTGGAAACATTGTGCATTGTATGGAAACAGTAAGGCTTTTTCTGTGCTTAATATATTAAAGGCTTTCGATATTACTGGCATGCTGGTCTATTCCATAACATTGCACCATATGGTGTATCTAGAAGATTTTTAAAATTATTGAAACATCCCTTTCTAATTGCAGTATTAAAGTTGTCATAGATGAATAACACTCTCCTTCATATCCAGTAACTACAAACAGCTGTGCTCAAGTTACAGGGTCCTCAGTTGTTTATTAAATTATCACAGTACTGTTGATATTTCTGTTGTGATGAAAAAAAAAAACTCTTACTGTGTTCGCTATAATACATCATCTCAGATTATCATTCAAAACTAACCTCTCATGGAAACCATATATACAATCTATTGCCAAGTAAACATCTGTTAAAATTCTCTTTATGTGCTTATCGTATTCCTACTTCTGATTCTCAACCTCTATTTGTCTTTTCATCCTTTTGTTTCATTGTGCTCAAAAATGTTTTAATTATCTCATTTTTGGAATTTCCACCTATTTTGATGTTTTCCTGGCACTTACAGTTTACAGTTTTCTTTACAAGTCTTCTTCAATTGCTTTCCTTTTTATTTAGATTTTTCTTTTTTTTTTTTGTTAAATTCCATAAAATTTGTGCTTGCTTTCAGTCTTGCTAGGGGAGATTTGTTTAAAAAATAAATAAATTTTATCTAAATAGTGCTGATTTCTTGAAAATGTATATTTATCTAATGATAGAGAAAATCGACACCTAGATATTTCTGTTGTTTCCAAAAACACATTTTGCTTGGCTAAATTGTTTGCATTTTTATCAAATTTATAACATAGATTGAATTTTTTAGAATAGCATGCCTTTTTCACACATGGTTTTTTGATAAATTTGCTTTTTGTATATCATTGAAGGAGAAACTTACCACCACTGCTACCTTTGACACAATTTGACAACATTTTATGTGATTTTACTTTGCACAATTCTCATTTACAGTGTCTTTATATGGACACTTCATATTTAAATCCAATTCTTAAATGAAAGTGCTTGCATGTAGAAAATCTTTTGTAGATATAACTTGTAGATAGTAAAAAACCTTTTGCATTGAAGATACTCTTAGTAGATTATTTTTACACTGTTGATTTTCTGGGTATTTATTATTTATTTTCTGGGTATTTATTATTTATTTTCTGGGTATAAAAAAATATCATCATGCTTTTGATCCACTTATTTTCAACTTTTTTTCTTATTTTAACAAGAGAAATAAAAAATAAAATGCTATAAGATTTTTCAATATTCTTCTTTTTCATATTTATGTAGGAGTAATCTTGTTTGTCAATAAAACATTGCAATAAAATTTGACAATAAAAAAAAAATTGAACAGGAAAATTGACTCAACTTTATGAGCTCTATAAAAAAAAATCTAATACATGCATTTTCTTAAATTTTAAAATAAATTACACTGGTTAAAATAATTCATGTTGTTTATGATAAAATATTTATCCCGGTAAATATTAGCAATATCCTCAGATATCCAACTGTCTATAAGACTCTGGAAAAATGGGATTTGGTTTGAGAAACCATAACTAACATCTTATCTAACAGAAGATATTATCATGCTTATTTATATTCATTAACAAAAGTAAAAGAGGAAGTAAAATTCCAGTTAAAGTTATGTTAATGCTAGTAAATATCTTAACTTAAATGTAAATTATTATCTTGAATTAACAATGAGTTTAACAGAACAAAGTAATGACTTGATATATAAAGACACCTTATATGTAAAGATACCATAAGAAAATTTATAAAGATCAAAAATGTTGACAAATATATACAAACGACTATAGTATTTGCTAAATGATGTCAAATGATTGCAGCTGCAAAGAAAACAAAAAGATCACTCTGGATATATGTACATGTGTGAATATATAAAGTTTGCTGTGTATATCATATGAGATGCTCAGTATAATTTTTAATAACTTAGAACTTTTAACTTTTCAAGAGGAAATTGTTTTAACAATCAAGAAACTTCTCATATTTTAACTTATAAATTTTATTTTGGTTACACATGGCAGACATAACTATGTTTTCTATAACTTAAAAACACACATATTGTAACTAATAAAAATAAATTTGGGCAACAAATAATGTTTTAGGTTCAGTAAAAAAAAAAAGTTATGGTTTATATGTGACAAACCTTTTATTTTCAATACTATTTATTAATTATTGTGCAATTTTTATTAATTGTTGTGCAATTGTTAACAGTCTTGTAATTCTAAAATTATTGTAATATGAAATATTTTGAGACCCCTGGTGGATTCAATCTATATGAACTCGAGTGTATAAGGAACCCCAAGTGTTATGCAGCTCACACTAGTAAAATAGCTCTGTTGGTTTAGGGATGTGTTTTCGTGCAAACCACTTGAGATTTGCAAAAAAACACATGCTAAAGGAAACAGAGTAAGTAGCAATTTAATTTGGAATATCATAAATATAAAAAAAATTATCTTTAAATTCAATTAATAAAATACAAAACGTTCAAATAAATAATAATGTATTCTCTCATGTAATTAATTTGAGATTTATTTGAAAATGTTACTAAAAATTTGGAATGAAATTGATAAAATAAAAACATGAACTTTCTTAAACATCTTACTTAAATGAATGAAGTCAATCCTCTGGGTACTAAAATACCCAGAATCTTCAGTTTAAGTGTAGGAAGGCAGTATATATGCATATAGATACCATTACAAAAACAAACAAAAATTTAATTTTTGCATTGTTTGTCTTTTTTTAATGACAAAAAGTTTTACTCCACATAAAATTCTTGAAACATTAAACAACTAATTACATTAACAATAAACATTAAACATCAACTACTACTTAAGTATTAATTGATATTAAACATCAAATACTACTACTTAAAGGGATCATAAACTCCCAACACATGTTGTGTTCATGTTAAAGATAATAACTACTACTTAAGTATTAATTGATATTAAACAAAAATGATGAACAAGAAGAGTGAAAAATAATTGATAATTTAAAATTTGAAGATTGAAAAACACCTATCTTCTGAAAATGATATCATTACTTACTACCAAAGCAATTCTATTTTAATCCAGCCTAAAGTTTTAAATTGTAATAACCTTTAGGTTAATTGTAATTAACCTTAAGGTAATTACAATTTAAATTGTAATTTGTAGTAAACCCCACCCCTACGAAAATGTGTAAAATTATTTGTAGTAAACCCGACCCCTATAAAATTATTTGAAAAACTATATAACTTTATTACCATAAGTTTTGTTCCAACACCATCAGTACCCGAAACTAAGATAGGATCAGACAAACCGATTGCTTTTAAATCAAACAACGCACCAAATCCTCCTAGACTTCCAACACAACCAGTTCGCAAGGTACTTTTAGCCAAAGGGCTTATACATTCAACCAGTGTGGAACCAGCATCAATGTTAACACCAGAATCAAGATAACTCACATCACTAAACAAAAACTTTTTAATAAGTTAATCCAAACTAAATAAATCTTTTTTAAATAACAATTGATGATTATATGACTATTATGAAGATATATTTATAAGATATATTAATGATAAATTAGGATGAATGTATTGTTTTAACCAAATAGTTAACTTATGTGTGTTTTGGTGTTTTATTTTTAAGGTACTCCAATAAGGATTAACCTTATTATCAAGCCAATGCCTTTTTTGCAATAACGCATTGCAATATTGTCATATATGGACAAGAATATTGACTCAACTTTAAGAGCTTTAAAATTGACTTGAACTTTAAGCCACAATAAAAAAAATCTAATACTAGTTTAACTTATTTTTACATGTTATATATTCTACAAAATACTTATTTTTACATGTTATATATATTATACTATGTACTCATTTATTTTGACATAATTTAAACTATTCTCTTTTTTTCAAGCTTATAACCAACACAAAAACTCATCATGTTTTGCACAACATTATAGAGAACTTTATCCCAAATATTTCTTCACTTTTTTAGCACCTTGGACTCAAAACTAATTTTTTTTTTTTTCAAACATCTTCACTTCCAACAAGGCTGCAAGCAACCACTATTAGAATTGGAAGTTACTGGAAAAGAAAAGATGAAGTTTATAAAGCAAGATAATGATTAATAGATGACTTAAAAGATTGCAAATTAAATCGGCATATCTTGAGTAAAATAATTTTTGAATTGAAGATAATTTCATCATAAACAAAAAACATACAACTCGATTAAATTCATTTTAAGTTGGTGGTTTTGCATGCATTGTATTTCCTGATTATAATTTGTTAATACTTTATGCTTTTGTTTTTTTGTTTTGTTTTGTTTTTGTTTGTTTTTTTGATAAAAAATAAATTTTTTAATATTTTGAATAAAATTTATTTTATTTTGAATAATCTTTTTTTCAGTACCAAACTTTTATAATTATACATCGAAACTTTTTGCTATTAAATTATTTTAAAATGATGAAAGGAAAAAATATCTTGTTTTTTTTTTTTTTTTTTTTTTTTTTTTGTAATTCACCTCCTTATAGCCGAGAAGGCCACTACAGACGAGGATGCTACTTGATAGTAGTTATAACCCTCTCTCAACTCTATAACTCAGAAACACGAACCTTGACGAACAAGGCCGCTGCGCGGAGAAACAAGAACATAAGGAGGTAAGAACAGACATTTACAAAAAGAGTTGTTTTTTTAAGACACCCTACTGTGAGAATGTTGTAAAAAGTTTAATGTATTATAAAGATTCTTTTTCAACTTTTAAGTTTTACCATGGAACAAAAAAAAATATTGTCATTCGTTGAATGTAAAAGATAATATTGTAAAAAAAAAATCATAAATTGATTCAGGAAAAGACAAGAGAAATTCATATTCATTACAGCTTTGTAAGACAAGAGAAATTCATATTCATTACATATTGTAGCTTCTTACAGTTAACAAGTCAGCAGCAGAATGAGATTATCAAAGATTGTTGAAGATTAAATTGATAAACTCAAGATAAAACATAAGAAGTTTGTTAATTAAAGATTCAAAGACATTGCTTATAAAAATAAGAATGGACAATTATTAAAAGGGTCAAAGCAGAGTTTTTTAAAATTAGAATCACAGATGCCATCCGAACCACAGATGCCATTTTCCAGTAGACAGGAAACCAAGATTCAATTAAGCATTTGTTAAATAGTTAAGTTACTTTCGTAAGAAAAATTTTGTCAGGACCCTGTAGAGATTTGTAAGCTTATAACAAACAAGCTACTTATATAAGCATTTTTTTCTTTGTTTCATCGTTAGCAGATGACAATACTTTATCAAGTATAGCTAAAAAATTCTTTTATAAACATGTTTTCAAAACTTTAGACAAGTTTGATTTTAGTGCCTAAATCAAACTGGTCTGTATATTCTTAAATATTATTATATCAAAGAATATTTAAGAATTAAGGACTTATAAATATTTTTTATGACAGAATATTTTTAAGAGCATCAAAAAATAAATAAACAAATTTTACTAAATTTTATGAAACTGTATATACAAAAAATAAGATAGATTGCATGTTAAACTTATACCTCAATACTTTTAAAGCAATATCTTTTCGATAAACCATTCCTTCAAAATAAATCTTATCGATAGCTTTATAAACATTAGAACGAGCTTCTTTAAATGAATCACCTAAACCGGTTAAAGCCAGTACCCGACCTCCTGATGTTACAATAGTATTCTCAGACAATGATGTCCCAGCGTGAAACACAAAAACTTCATTTAACTTCTATAAAACAGTCAAAAAAATATTAGAAATTTACATATGTGTGTGTGTGTGTGTGTGTATATATATAAACACACACACACACACACACACACAGATATATATATATATATATATATATATATATATATATATATATATATATATATATATATATATATATATATATCTGTGTGTGAGTGAGTGTGAGGAGAGTGGGAACTAGTGCAAAGTAGAACTTTGTTCTAAGTATTAGAACAACTAAATAGTGATTGGTTTTGAATTGTGATAAACAGCCACCATTAGTTGCATTAGAATAAAATTTTATCAAAAGTTGTCTTAGTTAAGTAATTCTTCGGGTATAGTGCAAAACCGCATATCTAGCATTCGGTAATACCACGTATCTACTCTACAGATTTTTTACTGGAAAAGTTCAAAACTTTATATATTTTTTATTTCAACAGATTTTCTATTCGTTTTAGTATAAAGAGTATTAGTCATGTTTTTTGCAATGTCAACAATAGATATTTGGTGTTAAAATGTGATGAAAATCTTGATGTTATTTCTGATCAAATTGACCGAGCCCTCTCTCTTTATCCATCGGCCAATATCGTCGTTGTTGGTGACTTCAATGCCCATCACACCGATTGGCTTGGCTCTAGTGTCAGTGACTCTGCTGGCGTTATGGCCCTCAACTTTTGCCTTTCTCAATCTCTAACTCAAATAGTCAACTTTCCAACTCGTTTTCCAGACAACCCTAATCATTTACCTTCTCTACTCGACTTATGTCTTGTTTTGGATCCTAGTCAGTGCTCAATTTCTCCACATTCACCCTTAGGTACTTCTGATCACGGTTTGATCTCTCTAAAACTATTATCAAATTCTTCTACTTCATCAGAATCCCCCTATCATCGTACCACATACAACTACCTTAAAGCTGACTGGGACTCTTTCCGTGATTTTCTTCGTGATGGCCCTTGGGTAGAAATCTTTCGTCTTCCTGCTGACAAATGTGCTTCTTACATAACTTCGTGGATTCAGGCTGGCATGGAATCTTTTATTCCCTCTCGACGATTCCAGGTTAAGCCTCACTCTTCTCCTTGGTTTTCCTCACATTGCACTGCAGCAATTTCTAATCGAAACCGTTACTTCCATATCTATCAGCAAAACAATTCTCCAGAAAACAGACATCTGTTCACTATCGCCAGAAACCATTGTAAAAAGGTTTTGTCTGACGCCAAAGCTCGCTATTCCCAGGTCATTAAATCTCGTATCTCATCACAAAAATTAGGCTCTCGAGACTTCTGGAGAATCTTTAACAGTATCAATAATAAGGGCAAATCTGTTATTCCTTCTCTCTTGTATGGTTCAGACTTTGTCACCTCACCTAAAGACAAAGCTCAATTGTTTGCTAAGAACTTTTCATCAATATCATCTCTTGATTCCACTAGTTGCGTTTTACCTGACATAGCCGTCAAACAGGTTGATCCCTTGCTTGACATTCGCATCACTTCAGCTTCTGTATCTAAAGTAATTTCCTGCTTAGACTCTTCAACGGCTTGTGGTCCTGACAACATTCCTGTTGTAGTCTTGCAGAGGTGTTCTCCGGAGCTTTCATCCATACTTTCTAAACTATTTAACAAGTGCTTATCAGAGTCTTGTTTTCCATCATGCTGGAAAGCAGCATCTGTTATCCCTATTTTCAAAAATTCCGGAGAGCGATCTGATTCATCTAACTACCGTCCCATTAGTCTTCTTCCTGTCATAAGCAAGGTTTTTGAATCTTTAATCAACAAACACTTAATCTCTCATCTTGAATCAAATAACTTACTTTCTGATCATCAATATGGATTTCGGTCTTCTCGTTCTACAGCTGATGTGCTAACAGTAATAACCGATAGGTTTTACCGTGCATTAGATAGAGGTGGAGAGGTTAAGGCTATCGCACTTGACATTTCTAAAGCTTTTGATAAAGTTTGGCATGCTGGTCTTCTCCATAAGCTTTCTTCTTATGGTGTAGCTGGTAACGTCTTTAAGATTATTGAGTCCTTTCTTTCCAATCGTAGTATAAAAGTTGTCCTCGATGGACAACACTCTTCTTCACATCCTGTAACTTCAGGGGTTCCTCAAGGTTCAATCCTTGGCCCTATACTTTTCTTAATTTACATTAACGATCTTCCAGATATTCTCACATCTAAGGTGGCATTATTCGCTGACGACACTACCATTTACTCTTGTCATGATAAGAAGCCTACACTCTCTGATTGCTTGGAGGGGGTATCTGAGCTTGAAAAGGATCTCACTTCTGCTACAGCATGGGGCTCACAGTGGCTGGTGAACTTTAATTCAGATAAAACTCAATTTTATTCGGCCAATCGTTATCGTAATAATTTAGATCTTCCTATATTTATGAATGGTAATGTACTAGATGAGTCATCTACCATTCATCTTCTAGGATTAACTCTTACTTCTGATCTTTCTTTTAAACCGTATATCAAATCCATTGCAAAATTAGCATCTGCTAAGGTTGCATCTCTTTATCGAGCTTGACACTTTCTTACTCCAGATTCTATTCTCTATCTCTATAAATCTCAAATCCGTCCCTGTATGGAATACTGTTGCCACATCTGGGGCGGATCTTCTAATGATGCTCTTTCTCTTTTAGACAAGGTGCAAAAACGAATTGTAAACATAGTTGGACCTGCTCTGGCAGCCAATCTCCAACCTTTGTCACATCGTCGTAATGTTGCTTCTCTTTCTCTTTTCTACAAATACTATAATGGGCACTGCTCTAAAGAGCTAGCGTCCCTTGTGCCATCTACTAAAATTCATTCTCGTGTTACTCGCCATTCAATTAAGTCTCATCCTTTTTCTGTGACTGTTCCTAAGTGCTTCAAAAACTCTTATTCTTCTAGTTTTTTTCCTCGAACATCAGTTCTTTGGAATTCGCTTCCTTCATCTTGCTTTCCTGATTCATATAATTTGCAATCTTTTAAGTCATCAGTCAATCGTTATCTTGCTCTACAGATTTAGTCTTTTCTCTTCCAGTAACTTCCAACTCTTATAGTGGTTGCTTGCAGCCTTGTTGGAAGTGAAGATGTTAAAAAAAAAAAAAAAAAAAAAAAAAAAAATTATTAATATAGTAGCTAATGCTAGTTCCAATGAAATATGACTTTTAATGATCTTTGATGTAAACTTTTATCATGTCATGATTGTCACTATGTGATGCAGTAAATTATTATTTCATATGCTGATAATTGTAAAACAAAACGTACAAAGTTGAAACTTCAGCATTTGCTTATATTGAACTATTATTAAAACTTTTGAACATTGAAATAAAACTTTGCTCTTGCACTGTTTTTACTAATATGTCATCTATGAAACATATGATGTATATGCATATAAGCAATGGTTTAGGAAATATACATTTGAGCAATGGTGTAGGAAATATAGGGGAAATAATATATAAAAATATGGGGCATAATACATTAAACTAATAAAAGAAAATATCTAAAAAATAAAGTTTTATATAACAAAATAAAATAAATATAATCAAAATAAAATCAATCAAAAATAAATTGAAGTTTCTTATTTTAATAAGATGTTAATTTAATAACTTAAAAGTTATGTTAGTTTAAAGTTAGTTAAACCTGCATCCAAATATTTAAATTGTTTTTTAAATAATCTTTATTTTGACACAAACTTATGAAACCATAATAGTATTATGTGTTCCAGCTTTGATTTTCTTTCCAACCATTTCAAATAACTAATCATGCATAATTTATTTATTTACTGCTTTAGTTTGGTTTTAATTGTTATATATAATAGAAAAACTTTTTTATGCCAACATATTCAAGTTGGAAAACTTATATTTGATTTTTTTGGTACGTCTAACAACATAGCAGACACCCGGCTGCTCGCTATAATAAATATTAAATAATGCCAATAACAAATAAATATTGATTTATTATAGATCATATTATTAATTAGAAAAAAATATAAAACAATTTATAACTATGATTGTTCTCAATATTAAAAAAAATTAGTTGATTTTTAGAATTAAAAAATATTTTACCTGGACATCATCTAAACCTTTTATAGGAAACCCTACCACATATGATTCAGGATACCCACTGCTTGCAAGCACTACTGTTACTGATTTTATTAAAGTGTCAAATAAGGGCATGGCTTCATTTAATTTACCTTGGCAACACATTTTCATGGTTATATACAAATCACTTTTCATTAATGGTAGCAAGGCTTGAGTTTCTATATTTAAAAATCAGACAAAAATATAAGTGTAATTAAGTGTATACAGGCCTTGTTTTAAAGCGTTACGCCTAGAGCGATTTACGTACGCCTTAAGCGCTTTTTACGTACGCGTAGAGCTGTTTTGGTTAAGCTACTTTTTATCATTTTTTAACTTTTAAATTAGCGGTAACATAAAAGAAGTAATTAATTTTCAAAAAAACCACATTAACTTTTAAATAACGATATGTAAAGGTATTTATTAAAAAAAAGAATTTACTTTAAAATTAATTGTTGTAACTTTTCATCGCGATATATCTTTCCTTTTTATAGCAATTAATTTGACGCTAAACTTTTTATCCAAATATTTAGCAACATGAAAAATTGTTTGTCAATCCTTAACTACAAATTTTTTGCAATGTTTTTAATAAAAAGTAGTAAAGTTTTTAGTAAAAAACTTTTAAAAAATCTATATTCCATATTTATTAATACAGAATATAAAAGTTTTTTGTAATATAGATTTTTTATGAATTTTTTACTGAATTTATAATAAAAAACATTTGCAAAAAAATTTGTAATTAAGAATTGACATTTTTTTTAATAAAATCTCAAAAAATGTCTTAATATTTTTGTTATCATGATAACAAAAATATCAAGACATTTTTTCGAGATGTTAAAAAAAATGTCTTTGCTTTTCTTATTAGTTTAATAGTATATAGCTTATAGTTAGTTTAATAGTATATAGCTTTTCTTATTAGTTTATTAGTATATAGTTTAAGATATGCGGGGGGAGGGGGTTGGCACAGAAAAAAAAATTACCTGTTACTTGCAATATTTGAATGAAGACAATTTGTTAAAATTCTTCTGCGTGCGATTCAATAAGTTTTTTTTGTCATGAATCAAGTTATAATATAAGGTAAAGAAATCATGAGTAGACTACAACATCCGCTGATGACATTAATATTACGTTGAATATATTTATATAACGGAGGTTTTATTATGCTCGCGCACATTACAGGTTCCGTTAAATAAATACTAAGGCACGTTTTAGTTTTTTTTTTTTTTTTTTTTTTTATTTTATTTGCATTCACTCCCAACAAGGCTGCAAGCAACCACTATTAAGTTGGGAGTTACTATGAAAAAAAAAGAACAGAGTTATAGAGCAAGGAAACGGTTGACAGAAGACTTAAAAAACTGAAGGTTGTATGAGTCAGGAAAACATGAAGATGGGAGAGAGTTCCAAAGGATTGAAGTGCGGGGAAAAAAACTAGATGAATAAAAGTTTTTAGAGCATGCAGGGACAGATACAGTAAACGAATGCGACTTAGCTGAATGACGAGTAAAACGAGAATGAATTTTAGTTGATGGAACTAGAGATGATAACTCCTTTGAGCAGTGACCATGATAGTATCTGTAGAAAAGAGAAAGAGATGCAACTTTACGACGATGGGAAAGAGGTTCAAGCTTAGCAGATAGTCCAGGTCCAACAACATTTACAATGCGTTTTTGGACCTTGTCAAGAAGAGAGAGTGAATCGTTAGAAGAACCAGCCCAAATATGACAACAGTATTCCATACAGGGACGAATAAGAGATTTGTAGAGGTAGAGAATGGAATCAGAAGTAAGAAGATGGCGAGCACGATAAAGAGAAGCAACCTTAGCAGAAGCTAATTTAGCAATCGATTGTATATATGGTCTCCATGAAAGGTCAGTAGTAAGCGATAATCCAAGAAGACGTAAAGAGGACGACTCAGTAAGAGGATTGCCATTCATTAATATAGGAATGTTGACCATATTACGGTAGTTGTTTGCAGTAAGCAATTGGGTTTTTTTAGAGTTGAAATTCACAAGCCACTGTGAACCCCAATCTATTACTGAAGTGAGATCAGATTCAGGATCAGCTGCTTGTTCTAGGCGATCGAAAAGAGAAGACTTTTTGTCAAGACAGGACTATAAAGTTGAGTCATCAGCAAAAAGAGCTACTTTAGATGAAAGGTTGTCAGGAAGATCGTTTATGTAGATAAGAAACAAAACAGGGCCCAGGATGGAACCTTGGGGAACCCCAGAAGTTACTGGAAATAAAGAAGAGTGTTGGCCTTCAAGGATGACTTTAATAAACCGGTTAGAAAGAAATGATTTGATAATCTCAAAAACTTTCCCAGAAACACCATATGAAGCAAGCTTATGGAGAAGACCAGCATGCCAAACTTTGTCGAAAGCTTTAGATATGTTGAGAGCAATAGCCCTAGCCTCACCGCCTCCATCTAATGCACGATAAAATCTTTCAGTTACAGCAGTTAGCAAGTCGGCCGTAGAGCGAGAGGATCGAAAACTATATTGATTGTCTGACAGCAGTTTATTTGACTCAACATGAGATGTGAGGAATTTGTTGATTAAAGACTCAAAGACCTTGCTAATAACAGAAAGAAGACTGATCGGACGATAATTGGAGGGGTCAGAATTTTCTCCAGAGTTTTTGAATATTGGAACCACAGATGCCATTTTCCAACAAGCAGGAAAACAAGACTCAGTCAAACACTTGTTAAATAGTTTAGAGAGAATTGAAGAAAGTTCTGGAGAACAACTCTGCAAGACTGTGACAGGAATGTTGTCTGGACCACAAGCTGTAGACGAGTTTAATTGAGATATGACTTTAGCAACAGAAGCCGGAGTGATTTGAATGTCTAACAATGGGTCAACCTGTTTGACTGGAATGGAAGGAAGAGAATGTCCATAAGATTCAAGAGTGGAATTAGAAGAAAAGTTCTTTGCAAACAGTTCTGCCTTATCCCTGGGAGAGGTAACAAGATCAGTCCCATGAATGAGAGATGGAATGTTAGATCTACCCTTGTTAACAATGCTGTTGAAGATTTTCCAAAAGTCTTTAGAGCCTAACTTCTGCGATAAGATGCGAGATTTAATGAACTGAGAATAATGGAGTTTAGCATCAGAAAGCACCTTTTTACATCGATTTCTTGCAATAATAAATAGCCGTTTGTTCTCAAGAGAGTTGTACTTTTGAAAAAGATGAAAAAAATGATTATGATTGGATATAGCAGCCGCACAAGAAGGAGAAAACCATGGAGTAGAATGAGGCTTGACTTGAAACCAACGAGAAGGAATAAAAGCTTCCATTCCAGCCTGAATCCAGGAGGTTACATAGGAGGCACATTTGTCAGCTGAGAGAGAAAAAACATCAGCCCAAGGACCATCACGAAGAAAATCACGAAAGGAATCCCAGTCAGCTTTAGGGTAGTAGTAGGTGGTGCGATGATAAGGTGAGCCCAAAAAAGAAGTACGAGAAGAAAGATTTATAGAGATCATTGCATGGTCAGAACCACCTAAGGGAGAAAAGGGAGAAACTAAACATAAACTAGGGTCAGAGACAAGACATAAGTCAAGGAGTGAAGGTAAATGATTAGGGTTGTCAGGAAAACGAGTCACAAAGTTAACTATCTGAGTAAGAGATTGAGAAACGCAGAAGTTAAAGGCTTTAGTGCCAGCAGGATCAGTGGTATTAGAGCCAAGCCATTCAGTGTGATGGGCATTAAAATCACCAACAACAACAATATTGGCAGAGGGGTAAAGAGAGAGGGCATGGTCAATTTGATCAGAGATAACATCTAAAAGAGTGCAATCATGGGAAGAAGGAGAACGATAAAGAACAAAGAGAAAGGTGATAGAGTGAAGAGGTGCTAGGCGAAAGCACATAAAAGAATGGTCAAAGGATTCGAACCTGATTTCACGACAAATAGGGGAATTAATGCGTATGTATACCCCTAAACCTAGCATGTGACTATTGGAGTCTTTACGAATCAAAGGATAGTACCCATCAACACTGACATCTGAAGAAGGAATTGCAGAACTTAAATTTGTTTCACTGAGTGCAAGCAAGTCTGGTGAATTTTGCAGGAGGTAAGACTCAACTGATGGAAAGTTGCTTCGTAGACCGCGAATATTTGTAAAAGATATATTAAAATATTTAGGTGGTGGGGATGGTTTTTTAGGTTTTAAATTTTTGGTTACTTTGGTCATGATTTGAGTTTAATGAGAACTTGACTCATTCATAGATAGAGCACAGCCTCCTAATCAATGAGCTATGCAGTTGTCTCAGTCCTGTTAATTAACCCTAAGCCGTGACATAGGGCTCCTTATGTGGCCTTGACAATGCACACCAAAAGCATTAACAGGGACACCATCCATGCGCAACATGGCACTGTTAATACTCTGATATTTTGCAGCTGTTGATGGAATCAGCCTCTCAGAGAGCTACCACAGAGTTCGGGAAACCTTACTACCAGCCGGCCTCAGAACCATTAAACTGAGTTTTAGAGCTGTACCCTTATATGGAGATAACAGGAAGAGTTGCATAGCCATTATCATAGAGGCATAAACAAAATTCTATGAGTAGAGTCAAGGAGATCCAGCATTCATCATCCTAGGCAGGAAACAATGTAACACAGGTTACATCTACGCCAGCCTAATAGATGAAGAAGGGGTTCGAGGCTGGTTAGCAGAATTTTTCTGCTTACCCCTTAAGTCTTTGCCTAGGAGGCCTTCTACAAGACAGTAGCAGGATGCAGTTAACATCTGCCCAAGATGAGTATTTTTATCGAGACACTATCCCTAGCCTTCACTCAACCAAGAGCCCCAAGGCAGGGGATGTTTAGCTAGATGCAGTTAACATCTGCCCAAGATGAGTGTTTTTATCGAGACACCATCTCTAGCCTTTACTCAACCAAGAGCCCCAAGGCAGGGGAATTTTTAGTCGGAGTTTATTTCTCCTAGCCTTTGCATAAGAAGAGCACACTCTGCAAGGCAGCAGGGCTTGTGGCAGGTGGTACTGGGTTACGTGATGCCAGTAGCAAGATTGATCTCGATTATCCTGACCTGACCTGACCTTTAATGACAGTCTCCATTTTTTACTAATGAATATGTATTTTTCTTTATAAAACAAAACAAACTAGTATATAAAAACCTTGTATATTTCTATTATCCCTAAATTATTTAAAGTTCGAATA